TCTCACATTTGCTATTGCTATTTAGTTTGCAACTTTATTCCTTGCATTTGTGACTTGTTCTCACAATGTGATTTCATCTCACAATTGCAAATCTTAATTATTTCAGTTATTATTTGTTATTATTACAGTTGTATTATTATTTGTAATTTCTTTAAACTGAAACTGTGCACATGCAAGTGTAAACTGAAAAAATACACATGCAATATATGAAGTCTGAATAATGGAAAATCACAAATGTGAGAAATCATTTTGGAAAATTCTGACTTTTTCTCACAGTTACTTTTTATTTTTGTTACTCTGGAAACAGACTTCCAGTGAGGCCATATTTTATTAATTTACACTTCAAAATCAAACTCTCAAGGTTTTTTTTTTTTTTTTTAAGTTTTAAAACAAAGATAACTGAATAAGATACTGCATTTTATTTACATTTTATTTCTTATTTTCTATCTAGTCTTATTTTTTATGAATTTTTTTTTTCAGGCAAATTGTTATGCTAATATTTTATCATTAAAAAATGTATAAAAAATCTAAATCAAAGCATTTTTGCTCCTGATTTCAGACATTTGAACTCCTCTGCGTGTATCTCTCACAGTCTGGATGGCTTGTAAGAGTGAGTAAGAGAAGGACGTCAGGGGTTGCATCAGTCTGATGGGTTTAAGTTGTTCAGGTAGATGTGCTGAGGTAGTAAAGCAGTGCAGAGCATTAAGTCAGTGTGACGTCTTCCCACCAGCCCCTGCGCCACATCACAGATCAGAGATTTAGTGCAGGAAAGGCTAGAAAAACAGCAGCGGCAATAAAACAGGTGAGAGGTGACAGTACTGAGGTGAGCAAACTTCTACATGTGCGCCTCACAATACTTTTTATTGTGCTGTCAGCTGCATCGCTCTCCGTCTTCCTCTCTCATTTATTTGATGACTTTAATGTCGGCATGACCCGTCCTCAAAGAGCTGCTAACTTTTATAAACGTTTTCATGAGAACCTGTTTTCAGGTGAGAGGTGACAGTACTGAGGTGAGCAAACTTCTACATGTGTGCCTCACAATACTTTTTATTGTGCTGTCAGCTGCATTGCTCTCCGTCTTCCTCTCTCATTTATTTGATGACTTTAATGTCGGCATGACCCGTCCTCAAAGAGCTGCTAACTTTTATAAACGTTTTCATGAGAACCTGTTTTGTTTTTTTCCTCCTATCTCTCCCTCCCTCCCATATCTCCCGCAGAAAACATGAAGGCACCTCTGCAAAGGTCACGGTCGCGGCAGAATATCAATTTCAACTCGACACGAGCACCCACTACCAAGGAGCCTCATTACGAGAGTGAGCCACATCCTTCTGCAGCCCACAGGCTGACCCACCGGCCCGAGGGGGAGAGAGAAAAAGCCAGAGCGCGAGAGAAGGAAAAAGAGCAAACTCCGACACTTTGCTCATCCAATGGTGACACAGATGTGGAGGCCTTGCTGGCCCGCCTGCGTGCCCTATGATGACATCACCGCTTCCCCAGACCTCTCGGGTTTGACCTCTGTAGTCAGTACGGTGACACGGACACAAAAAAGAAACACATAGCTCGCAGTCACTTTTTGCTAATAAATGCCGTCGGGTTGCGCTCATACACGCAAAGGAAAAGTCTTAATAATTAACCTTTCCCATCCGTCTCCTCTGCCCTTTTACGTCTAACAGCAGACTTGTTGTCCACAGAAGTGCGAGTCTTTGTGCTGGTCGGGTCCAGGATGAAAACTCTTTGCTATGTTTTATTAAGCAGCTAATTACCAGACTGTTTAGAATGACCTTTGGTCTTTTTTTATGTCATAAACAGACCAATTATTACTCTTTAAAAAGCTTCATGCTGCTCTTTAAGGCATTCATAAATGTGTATTTTCACTTACATAGACCTATAACAGTTCAAATGTATCAAATCTAATTTTCCCTTTCCGCATTCAGACTTATTTAACCCTTTCATAAACCCCCCAAAATATTAGCTTTATCTTAGCTATACATGTTTATTATAAATATAAATCATTTATTTTTCAGTGTTAATCTTTTTGACCTATGTTTGTATTCATGTATATGTATTCAAATTAATAAAATGTTTTAATATGCATGGAAATCGTTGTACTTAAAAACAATGACTTGTGTACTTATTTTTTTCTGTTTTTGAGATTAAAAAGAATGTATTAGTTGGCTTTAGGCCCCCTCAAGAGAGACGGCACTATGCAAGAGCAGCGGTTCTGTATTAGAAGAGCCGCTGACAGCAGATCCCTGAGTGCCAGGAGTATTTGTACTACTTAGCAAACCTCACTTATGTAATGCACACTCCTCTTCTGCACATTTATTCTTGGATCTGCGGCTTTTCCAAATAACATTTCCATTTTTTTTTATGTTAGACACTCAATTTCTTTAGTTTCCTTTTTGTGTTTTTTTGTCTTGTTGTGTGCATGTGTTTTCTCATTGTATAATTGACGAGTTTTCATGTTCTTCCTTATGATGTTTTCTGTATTATTCCTGATGTGATTTTCCCTCTGTCCTGCTGTCAATCAGGTATGACATTAGATTGAGATTACCTGTGAAATCACATCTCTTCTCGCTCTCTCTCATTCTCCCTGGACTTACTGCACTCCCATCACCTTTTTTGATTCTTTGAAACAACATTCCTGTTATTGGATAGACATTATTGCAGTGACATCCTTTGGTGAAACGTTTCAAATAAAATAAAGAAAAGAAAAACGATGCAGAGAACAAAGTCTTTTGTTTGGCTTCAAAACAGACGAATGCCAGTTCTTTTTTCTTTTTTTTCCCTTCCATTTACTCAGTCAGTTTCCCTCATTAAAAGGGTGCATATGTTCTGGCACATCCTCTCATTCATTCAGAAATCTCATTTTATGCACGGTTACCTGAGAGCCGGGTTGAGGTTAGGGAGGGAGGCTGGCACCTCCTGGAGAGATGAAAGTCTGTTCAACCCACAATCACACTGTTTATTGTATTGAAAAATAATAATTAATGCTGTTTCCAAAGGTGTCTGTTCCAGTTTAATTAATCCAGTGGAAATGGGGGAGGTCGGTTTGCCCCTTCACAGCACTAGGGCGCTGGAGTTATTTAGAGTTTGGGAATGCTGGTTGCTTAAAATAAAGAATTGATAGCAGATAACTTGCTGTCTGTCACATTCTTAGCCAGCATTATGTGAATGACTGACATTGGCAGCAACTGCTCGTGACATTCAAGTACTGCTTGTCATGTGAGGTACGTGGAAGATATCAAATCAAAGGAAATTAGATGACCCTGACAAATATTGGATAAAATAGTCATTTTTAGTTAGATACTACTTTTAAATGGAACTATATATTTTTTTAATTTATAGTATATTTATTAAAAAGATAGATAGTCAAACCAAAATGTATTCAGACACCTTCAAAATTTCACACATTATCACAGTTTATTCGCTATAGTTTAGAAAATGGTAATAAAATATAGCTAGAACTCAGTTAAACTGTCAACAAATTCATCTTGATAATGTCAGATAACACTTAAGCAAACATGGTCAGGTCAAAGTGTCTGAATAATTTTTTCTCCCAAGTTTTTATAAATGCTACTGGTAGTCCACTGTATTAAGAATATTTGGGTATAATATGTCACAGTTTACTTGTAAACATTTTGCTATCCTCACTTACATAAATTAACTATAGTGTCCTGCACCCAATAGTAAAAAAAAATATCAAAAATTATATCTGGTGTCTGAATAATTTTTGGTTTGACTGTATGTATATATATATATATAGAGAGAGAGAGAGAGAGAGTATATATAGTAAACATTCTGGTTCACTGAAGATGATTTTATTTTAGTGGTGGCTGTCGTTGTTTTTTTTCCACAGAGCTTGGAATTGCCATCTTCGTGACGATACATGGGTAATTGACATGACATGTCAAGCAGTGACAGTAGTTGCCCGTAGTGTGACATGGCATACTCCATTTTTATTTTTTTATTTTTTTGTCAAAGCTTACATCTCTTATTTATACACTACTGTTTAAAAAACTGGGGTCAGTAATAGTTTTAAGTTTTTTGTTGTTGTTGTTGTATTAAATTAATATTTTTATTCACCAAGGTGGCATTAAATTGATCAATTGATTAATACTGGAGTAAAGATGCTGAAAATTTATATTTGCCATCACAGGAATAAATTGTTTTAAATATATCATCAATATTGAAAACAGTTATTTTAAATAGGAAAATTTCTAAATTTTTTACTGTATTTTCAATCAAGTAAATGCAGCCTTGGTGAGCATAAAAGCATAAATTATCTTACCAACCCCAAACTATAGTGTACATAAATGTATCCTAAAATATTGATCTTGAAATGGAGGAGAAAAAACCTTAGAACAAGTTCCCTTAGCATGCTGCATATTGTTACCTACATTTGGTCTTACATGCCTATAGTGCATTAAAATGCTTTCCATGTAGTTTGTTCACTACCTTTTGCAACTAAGCTTAAGTATTTGTAAATTGCACTAAGCCACAGATTGGATTCACAAAATAGATCACATAAAAGACAACATTGCTCAGCAGTCAAATTGAATGAGTCTGAAAAGAGACCATATTGGTATTCTTTGAAACCAATAACCCAGAAAACAACATAATTGACAATAATCCCCTCACCCAATCTCCATTTAAGTACCCTGTGTGCATGCAGCGCACTTCCTGCGGCCTAAACGGACCTGCGGTTACCAGAGGATAAAAACCCATCACAACAACAGGCCGTGTCAGTGCAGTCGAATAGCTCTTTGTGCCGAAATTAAATCATATCCATTTGCATTCATGTCCAAAGCCGCAATGTCACACGTCCACTTTCCAAAGAACGCAGATTCCTCTCCTCCATGCTTTTTATTTGCGTTTAGTCATCCGAAACATCAGGCTCTCTGCAGGCGGTGTGTGTAGTGCTGCCCTTAGCGGGATCACAGCTCCGATCAGCACCACGGACCGCTCCAGCAAGAGCAATGCTAATGAAGCACGGCCTTCCTCGTTCCCCTCTGTAGTAGCATCAGACAGGCACTCACTCTCACCATCTAATCTCTAAATGATCCACTGCCGCCGCAAGCGTAACCCCGAGAGAGGATGTTCTGTGTTTCTGTGTCCCATGTTCTTTGCTCTCTGCTTCTTTATTTTTTTATGAACTGCCTCTTTCTTTCTCACTCATCTGCTCTCAGCCTACTCCAAAAAGACAGGAACACAAGAAATCACCCAGTCCCGGTGCCTTTTTTCCAGCTTAATAGGACAAACCGGAGAGGCAGAGGATATGTAATTCTGCTGAATGTAGTTCTGCCCGAGTAGTGGCCAAAACTAGTCCGTGAAGCAAACCAGATCATTCCCTTCCTATTTAATGCCTGCTGTCAGCTGGCTTTCCACATTACGAGAGGGAGATCCGAAGAGGTTAAAGGGTCACAGCCAAAACACTGGTTCTTCTCAAGACATGTCAGGTCAACTGAGAATGAAGGTCAAGTAAAAGAGGTTAAGACTCGTTTGTGTAGATACATGTGTGTTGATTCATACTACTTTTGTTAATTATGCTTCAAATGACTTTTGTTGTTATTACAGTGTGTACTTTTTTCCCCACTGCGTGCTTTTTACAACGACTGTTTCTATTATTCGCTCTGCTGTTGGATGTGAATCTACTTGACAGACGGTCCGCAATAACAATGTGTAGGTCTGGCTGTTCTCTAACTGTTGCAACCAAGACGAACACAGACTGTCCAACTAGAGAAAGAGAAACAGACATCTGTTGGTTTTTGAACATGCATTGATGCGTCTCAAGCTGCCATCGCAAAGCCTTTCCTCCAGGCAACATCAAAAATTAGATCAGGGGAGGGGGGGGGGGGGGGGGGGGGGGGATGCATTTTCTTTATTGAACAGTTGTGAGGTTGTGTGTATAATTTAAAGGGAGACAAAGCATATTGTGTGGCAGATTGCCGTCTCCTCGGGTTTAATTGGAGATGGGTAGAGTGAGGCAGATATGAGTTAAGACTGTTAGACTGATTACTAGGATGGATCCTCAGCCCACACCTCTTCTAGCATACAGAGGCGTGTCGAAAATACTGATCAAAGCCAATATTGGTCAAAGCAAAAGTTTGAATGCCAAAAATGTCTGTCTGTAGTTCTATCTATCACTGTCTGTCTGTGTATCGTTATATCGCTCTGTCTTCCGTTCTACTTGTCATTCAATCTGTCTACCTAGGAATCAGAAAATGGTACAACCTAGACACAAACCCAGTTGTACCTTCAGCGTAAAATCATTTGAGTTAAATGTCAGTCAAAAGAAGTCTTTTCACACCCATGGTCTAGTCTGATTGGCTGGTTTCACACAATTTTCGAGAGTAAGGACACGTTTTTATCAGTCCAAAGTTCTGTTTACAAGACGCCATTCTGACACAGCAATCACTTCTGAGGATGAAATAACTTCTGGATTTGGCAAAGTGTGCAAGGTTAGTGACATCAAACCTTTGAAATATATTCAGTTTTCTTTGAGGTTTTTTAATATATGCATAATTGAAATGAGAAAAGATGCTATATTTATTAGCAACGAGTTGCTTTTTATCTGTCTTTTCTTTCTTCACCAGATGACGAAGTGTGTGTATGTTTTAATTACAGCGGGGTGGAGTGTGGTTGCCTTTTCATCTGCTGCACTAACAGTCCAGGAAAACTGGAAATTACTCCTCACCTCTCAATTCACCAGATTAAGAGAGACTGCCCTCCAAAGTGGACTCCTCCTGGAGTCTCTCCCTCTTTCTCTCTCTAACACACACTCCCACTTCTCATCTTAATCGTGAAGCGTCCATCAAGTACATGTCCCTGGAAACAAAATTCAGTTTCTAATAATACTCAGTCCTTCTTGGTTTGGAAGAGGTCTTTTGTAGGGTATTGTAACAAGTCTGCAGGGAGTTTTGCTCTTGTGGGAGCCAAAAGCAGACAGAAGGCTTGGCACTTTTGGCCATATCTCTATCTCC